CTTTCGGGGCGGGGGCCCCGGCAGGAGTCATTGTCCCCGGTACCGGCGGCCTTCTCCCGGTCGCACTCCTCTCACGACAGAAGAGGGTCACGCGCCTCTGGTAGAGACTTGTCACCTCCTTTCGCTGTATGTGCGCGTGTAACCGGCCGACGTGTGCTGTGTGGTGACAACCCTGACAAACATTTTTCAAGGGGTTTTAACGAGCTGGCGGATTGCATCAATTTGGCAAACTGGTTGCAAGGACCAAAGCAGGCTTTTCTGAAGCAAAAGGAGTGGACAGACTTGGGATTTGACCATGCACAAAATAATTTCCGTGCTCTCGTGTGATCTGTAGAAGCATCAGATCTTTTAAATTCTGTATTTCATGTGACATTTCTAGACAAAGGCATCAGTTCCTTAAGTATAGCTGTGTAAAAGTACAGGCATGACAAGGTGTGAAAGTAGGACATAAATCTTGAATTGAAAAATGCCCCCAAACCTTTATTTTTCTCATTTTTTTCTAATTTATTTCCCTAATGAAAGAGGGAAGTACCTAGGCCTTATGTGCCGACAGAGGAGGAAAGAAGACTCCTCAAGGAATGTGCTGAAGAGAGTGCCCGGTACAGAGGTAAGTTCAGTTTGCTGGTTGCTTGGTTTGTTTTACTTCCACTCTTTGTTTTTGTTGTTATCTGAGGTATTAAGGAAGGCAGGCCTGGGTCAACATATCCCAACAGTTCATTAAAAAGCTTCATGTGGTCTGAAATTGCATCCCAATAAATGTTGATCCATACAGGATTTACATTTATTAAGAGTTTCCAGGACAAGAATTTTGTAAAAGGTGCAATGTAATTTGTAACGTTTGTGCTTTAGAACAAGATCCTTTCGTACTTTAAATTAATACGCCTATTAAAAGTCTGAAAACAGATGTAGTTAATGGAATATCTCATTCATTTATTTATATTTCTGAATATTCTTTTTTATTTCTACTTTTTTAATTTAAATTTTTGTTGTTATGAGTAGAATGCAAGAATAAAATAGTTTAACTTAGAACTATTGCTTTCCGCCTTTATGGAGACTTGTGAAGAGAACAATGCTGCTCAGCTCAGTTGGATAAAATTTCTGTCTGTATGGCCAGTATACAGGAATAATAAACTTGCAGTGTTTTCACAACATGTTTTATGTCTCAATTTATTTGAAATAACAGTGTTATAGTGTGGGCTTTGAGAATTGATTGCATTACTTCTTAAAATTGTTTTTATAATCTAAAGGTTCAAGACATACCTGGTCAAGAGGTTTGACCAAGACTTCTGGTGTGATTGGTACGCACTACTTTATCACACAATAGTAGATTACTCCTGATGCTGATAGGTGACTTAGCAGAAACCAAGATGGATGAAGACTTTAGCAGCTGATTTGTTAAATTAGCACACTTGGACTCTTATTTCTCCTGGGAGTCAGTACTTTCAGGGGCAACTTCTAAAGCACTGTGATTTTGAGTTAACTATTTAAAGTTCTACTTTATCTTTCTCTATTGCTTTGGCATTCTTCTCTGCTTTTATTCAGTTACCTGGGAACCTTCAGCTTGTTTGCTAAAATCTAGCCATTTTCCTTATATTTTTATAGATGGAAAGAGTTCATTAGCAGTGAGGTGATGATTAGTTGCAGCTTATTGATAATCTCTCTCCTGGAAGACAAGAAGGGAGGGAATTGTTTGTGCTGTGAATTCTTGATTGGCAATGTAACTTACTGCCCTGGTCATCTTTGTAGAGAGACTGAAGAAACAAGATGAAGGTATTGCTGAGAAGCCCCAAATTAGTTTCTTGAGTAATTTCACTTTAGGGAGCTACAACAGTGATTGAGAGATTTTTGGGGAATGTTGTGTAGTGTGCTGTTATCTTACTGGGAGAACCTAAAACCCAGCACTATTTTCTAGGTCTCCTGTCTTGTTCATTGTTCTGCATTTCATGTACCTCTGTTGTTGTATTCACTGTATTAAATACATATTTGAGCACCTTATTGCAAGAGATATGGGCTGCCTATGTGTCTGCCCTTACATCCTCACTTTTTACTATATCGGTTCTTGTTATTCACAGATATTACTATACTTTTGTGCATTTTCACTTTTTATTCAAATTTCAAGCTGTAGCAACTTTTTACAGTTCTCTGTTTTGCAGCAGTTTCTATTGACAGCTTCTATTTCAGAAATGCTTGCTAGTCATTTCATAATTCAGTCTAATATATGCTTGTATTACTGATATTACTGGTTTTTAATCATATTATCATATAATATAAATTCCAATACAGTAAAAAAAAATCACGTTACCAATCTACAAACCATTTTATCCTCTGAACTTTTACTCTCGCTAACAAAATCAAAACAGATCAATATGACTTTTTCCTCCTAAAACCATTTTGACTAGACATTACATACCCATCCTCAATTATGTGCTGTTTATATATCAACCTTTCATTATTTATTCTAGGATTTATTTTGTTCCTCATGCAGAAAAAGTTTTGGAAAATCTAGGTCTAGAAACTCTAATATCATCAAGGTTTTAATCTTAAATAGATTGGAAGATTTTCTTCTCTATTTTATTTTGAAGTGTTACTGTAATCTTGCTTTTGAACCAAGGACCCAATACTGTCTTTGAAGTGACACCCAGTCATATTTACCTTAAAGTGCTGGGGGGACTCCTGACCTGGTTTAGACCTGTCAGAATTTGTGAAGGAATAAACTGTTAATTTTCAAAGTATATTTTAATGCTGTGCTGTTCGAATTCTAAAAAAGATAATTTATCTTCAAAATGAACTTAATTAGCAGACTGAGTGCATGACAACACTATAAACATCTAGTGCTGTTGTGGAAATGTCTCCCCTAGGTATAGTTATTGAGCCTTTTTGTAACATTTACATTTCCAAACTTGCTTAAAATGTAATTTCATCATCTAAATCTTTAATGTAATTAACTTCAGTCTTCTGTCACATTATTTCAATGTCACTGTATCTTGTGTAGGCATGGTGATCTTTACAAATAGTTTCAAAGTTAATTTTTCCAATATCATAATCATAATTGCTTGAAATAAGGATTCCTTTTGTTTCTTGCCATCTTCAAATGCTTCTTGCCACCTGAACACTTTCAGTATGAGAAAACCCAATGGGAACTGTGAAGCTGGTTGCGATAGGTGGTGATGCTCTTTTGGTATAGTTTGATCTGTAAGCTGCAGAAAAAGCTGCCCTGTTCCTTTAGTTTGCTGGTGAATAAAATGGATTACCTAATTTTAATCAATGTAGTTTATATCTTCATAAGAGTTAGACTTTTCTCAAAGTCGTTGTGTTGAAACAGAATCAAGACTTTTGGTTATCAAAAAATTTTTAGACGCATTGGCCTCTGTGTAACTGCCTTCTGTCCTGAAGAACTCTGTTTGCCTCTCTGGTTTAAAGTTCTGCATCTTGATGCTGCAGCAGTTGTAGCTGGATCTGGAATCTTGTCCTTAGAGCTTTATGCCACCTGCCATTTGCTCTTGTATTTTAGGAAGCAGAAAATCAAGTGAAGACAGTATGACTCATTAAGCAGACTGCATAATTTGTAGTGGGTCTTAAAAAGTGGACTTGAGAATGTTTCATAATTTATATACCTTTTGTTAAATATGTATGTGCTTACATTCTTATACAAATGAACTTAGTAAGGCCTAGCAACTCTCATTTTATTGCATATTTTGTTAAATGTGGTTGGAAATATCGAAAATCACATTTTAAGCAACTTTTCTTCTTCTTCACAGCTTTTCCTTTGGCTGCAGTGAGCATGCTTGCTACTAGTTTCTTAATTAAGAGAGGTAAAGTGTAAGCATACTTTGGATTAATTTGGATTTGCTCAGGTGAAATATATTTCTGCTGTTAATAAAGTTATATAATGTCTTGTAATTAAAAGAAGTTCAGACTTTTTAGCGATGTGCCTTGCAGTTCCTGAAACTAAAGGAGCAAAACTTTAAATTAAAATAAAATTCATGTTCATTTTATGTTGTTGGACAAATGCAATATGTCAGTGATTATAAAATAATACATTCTATAGTGTGTAGTAATACTCTGTGTGGTATGATTAAAGAGGTAATTCTTTGATTTTTATAATTTTGTGAGGAACTCAGGTGTTAGATTTTCTTGACTTTTTTTCAACATTAAGTATTAAAGAGTAACCTGCTGCCTACAAATATAACTACAAACTAACCTACAACCATAACTGCAGTTGATGTTTTTCAACTTAATTCTTAATAACTTATTACTAATTACTTTGATTCTCGTTTTCAGGTGTTCTAAGAGATAACTCAAGATTTGGCTCTTTTACAAAAGTTGCATGTAAGTAAAAGCTCCATACAAATTCAGCTTGTATTTCATGTCTTAGGGTCTGGAGTCTGTTACGTGGATGTAATTCCCATGAGACTAGCTGGCTGACTCAGTGACTTTATAGAGCAGAGACTTATAGGACATCTCAAGTTGGAAGGGACCCATAAGGATTGTTGAGTCCAACTCCCTTCTCCACACAGGACTGCCTAAAACTAAACCATGTGACAACAATCTTATATCTTATGATATAAGGTTGTTGTCCAGATGTTCTTTGAACTCTGACAGACTTGGTGCTGTGACCACTTCCCTGGGCAGTGTGTTCCAGTGACCAACCATCCTCTTGGTGAAGAACCTTTTCCTTACATCCAGTGTGAACTTAGCTTCATTCCATTTCCTTGTGTCCTGTTACTGGTCACTAGAGAGAGATCAGCACCTTCCTTTCTGCTGTCCCCCTTGAAGTTGTAGCCTGCAATGAGGTCACCCCTCAGCCTTCTCTTCTCCAAGCTAAGTGACCTCAGCCACTCCTCTTGTCCTCCAGAGTTTTGCTATTGAGGCACCCAAAACTGCACACAGTATTCAAGGTGGAGCCATAGCAGTTGAGTGTAGAGTGGAACAGTCGCCTCCCTTGACTGGCCAGCTGGGCTGTGCTTGGTGCACCCCAGGACACAGTTGGCCACCTTGGCTGCCAGAGCACACTGTTGACTCATACGCAACTTGCCGTCAACCCAGCCCCAAAGACCTCTTTCTGTGAGGCTGCTTTCCAGCCTCTCATCCCCCTGTTTGTATAACCAGGATTATTACCCTGTCTGGGGTAGAGAATTCGGCACTTAGAGAAGCACAGAATCAATGCTTACACTGGTACAACTGTGCCTGAAGATAGGAGTAACTGATCTGAAATATCCAATGAATAAGTTTCACCTTCCTGGAGTTAATTCTACCAGTCAGCAACTTTTTAGCCATGTTTCTTAACTACCCCATCTCATACTGCAAGAACTTGTTCAGTTTTAAGAGGTAGAGAATTTAATTTATGCACCATCTTTGAATTTCTCCAGCATGTTTTGGACAAGTTTTGTTTATAGGCTTTCCATAAAATTACTTGACAAGTGTAATGTAATAATTCAAGATAAAAACGTTGTGAATAGATACTGTACAAGCTTACTTTAAATTACTCTGTCAGAGTACGTCCGCACCCCCCCCCCTTCCTAATTTGAAGGTTATTCATGCATCTCACTCGTCCTGTTCAGACTATTTTAGTGCCTTTTTTCCCTGGACATTACGTATGTACAATTGTAGAAAAACAACAATTTCATGGATTAAGTATAATAAAAAATAAATTAATAAATTAACCTTTTCAATGTAATACATGACAGTAAAACATGAAGTTGCTATCTTGCCAGTCTGCCCAGATACAGCCAGTTACTCTTACAGTTTCCTTCAGTGGGAAGAGGGCAAAACCCATGATTTGTGGTGAAGGAAGTGTTGTTTAAGCAGATAAATGAATGTGAGAGACTAGGACTGCCATTTTTTTATGCTAAATTCTACTTACTTTCTTTGAACGCCAAACAATGGTATAACACAAATGTTTCTAATAAAGAATAGAATTACTATTTCCCTAATAGCTCCTGCACATTTCTAGTTAAGGGCCGTTCCTCCTAGTTGACAGAACTAAGTTTTAAAATCAAGGGAAAAAAGTAAGGAGCAGTTATTCGTGATGTTAAGGTTAAAAAACAAAATACTTCTGGCTTCTTTTTGATGTACACTGGCAGGCATGTGGACTTTCATTTTATACTAAAGAACTTTCCATAAAGTGTGTGTTTTGGTTGTTTTTCAGTAGGTAACTTTGTGTGATTCATGTGAATTTTAAACAGGGACTTTTCTGGGATGTAGTTGGAGTATAAGAGGCCTGAGTTAAGCAGTTTTTGTTTCATCCTCAGATTGTTCAGGTCAGATGCACCTCCTGTCTACAGGATCATCCTGAAAACTATTGCCAGGGTCATAGTTTACAGGTCAAAATTATATCTTCATAACTTAACCCCACATTCCCCCTGCAGTGAAAATCTCATTAAAGGAAGCAGTGCAGTTGTAGTTTGGTTTGGGTTTTTTACCTGCGTGCATTCTGAAGGAAGAGATGTGCACTTGCAGGCGCTGCTGATAACTCATCGCTACCTGATGTTGAACAGCAGAAAGACAGCTCAAGATAGCTCTTGCTTTTCTGGTGTCGCTGATCGAAGCATGCTGCTGCTGCATCTGTTGATTACAACAGTTTGCCATTTATAATGGTGTGTGTCGCTTGTGGTTGGTAGATTCTCGTTCTGAAGAGTATGTATGTATATACTGATGACAGTAATTGGTCTTTTATATCTAACATTGTCTAGTCAGTTTTTTTCTTGTAGTCTTCATCTTGCATCCTTCCCTGCTTTGCCCCTCTTGGTTTTATCTGGAAGTTCAGAGGTGTTTCATTTTCTAGATTGGGATTTTCAGATTTCAGGATTTTCTTCTGCCTATAGGAATTACTCATAACTTTTCTCAGTAGCCTTCTAGGGACTGACAATTTAAAAGAACTTCTAGTTAGTTGTGACTGATACACTACATTGACAGCATCCCCTTCAACATAGCTTAGGACTATCGGTCCTGTATCCCTCTTTGGCAAAGAAAGGTAAGATCCGTATTTTCTATTTCATGTTAGCCTGCAATGGGACCTGTCCTCTTTTACCTATCTCTGATCAACTTCCATAAGGTCTTGTCACAGTAAATCCAGAAGAAGCAGAGGGCAACAATATCTCATTTACTGTGCTAACTTTGCAAACGTGGATCATCTAGCTGTTAGATCTGTAATAAGAAAAAACCCAGTATTTTAGCCATTAGTTACTTTGGATGAAGCATCTTCCAGAGAGGTGCTTCTACTTTCTTGACTGGGAGGCCTCAAGAAAATGAGACTTTCTCTTTGTAATTTATGCCAAAGATTACTCATCTTTGCTGCTTAGCTTTATTTTGCTAACTATTTAGTTTGAATTCTTGGTGGGCTGTTTTTCCTTTTAAGGACTTGTAATTTTTCCCTTTGTGTGCATTCGTAGCATTTGAGCTGTATTCCAGTTGTTTTTTGACCTGCTAAACAGCTAAACCTTTACATTTCTCATATGTAAACTTCAGTCATAGTTGTGGCTGTTCTTCTTTTTTCCTTTGTAAAGGAATTTTTAACCTTTTGAAAACACTTTAGAACAAGAATCAATTTTAGTGCCAGTGCAGCAGGATAAGGTAAAATCCCCTTTCATATGTATTCCCAGGTGATGTAATCTACAGTGTGAGGACCTCAGAGGATTGATGTTACTGGTAATTAACTCTTTCCTGACTTAAAGATGACTGAGAGTATTCAATCTTTGTATTTAGAAAATATTCATTGCATATTAAAGAAGAATCTAGTCCTTTTCTCCTACAAAGTCAATAACAAAGCTGCTATTAATTGCCATTGAATCCTTGATGCTCTGTTTGACCCACTCGTAGTAACTTGAAGGAGCCGGTTGATGGAAATCATCAGTCTTAAGCCCATAAAGAACTTTTGTGATTGCTTATTCCTGAGTCCTGTCTAGCAGATGAAAATATCTCATGCACTAAATTGAAAGCATTTTCCTAGTGATTGTGTGGGTTCAGCTAATTCAGTTGTTTGCCCTCCAGCAACCATATCACAGAATCCTTTTCAGATACTGAGCCTAATACTAAGTTTATTTAGATTTCTTTTCACGCCAGTGAAAGCCTTTTCAAGATCTGACTGTTCTGATGGATTAAATCAGCAGAATTCACCATCTTTGTTTATTCCTGACTCATTTATCATCTTCGATAGTTAATTGTTATTTCTGGATCTTTTATTATCTTCTGGATCTTTTATTATCTGGATCTTATTATTTTATTTTATTTTTATTATTTTTATTTTATTTATTATTTTCCTTTTTTTTGGTCACCTTTCATCAAGTACTAGATGAAATAATCTGATGTTCATGCCATGTCTAAATCGTTGCTTTGTATCTCTGTTCAGCCGTTGTAGAGAAAGCAAAGATGATTACTGCATGGTTCTGATTTAGATCTACACTGTTAGAGTTTTTTTCTTTTATTCAAGATACTGTATAATATATTTGAAACTATTATTATTTTAAAACAATGTTGAATGTTATGATACAGCATATAAACCCATCTATTTTTCTTTTTTAAAAGTTGCTGGAATGTGTGGCTACCTGGCTGGAAAGATCTCCTACTTGCCAATCTGTAGTGACAAATTCAAGAAACTGAAGGATTCCCCAATAGGAGATGTTCTACGACAAGCTCAGAGACATAGTTCACATAAGTAAGAATTTAATTCTCTTTTAAATTTACAACTTATTCTTGAACAGGAAATTTTGAACACTAACAGATCAAAATTACAATTGTGGCTTTCAAAGACCTTCGGAGTTGCACCTTCCCTCTTTCCCCTGTTACCTCAGTTCTACCATTTTCCTAAAGCTGTATATGTATCAGTTGGGCAGCTATAAAGCACACATTTTGAGTTCTTTACATACAACTGATTGCTTTGAGGAACAGAAAAAGAAGCATTTTACTTAGCAAAATGTATTCCTTGTAAAGTAAGGTGTTGTTTTCCCATGGCATACACTTACAGTAATGTGACCGCAGAAGTTGCCTCCTTAGTTTAGAAGTAAACTGAGTTAACTAAAATAAAATAGTGTTGCATTCTAGATTTTTTCCCATAGTTGAGTTTGATTGCAGTAGGAAAAGGGTGGAAATTATTTTAGTGTTTATCAAAGGAAAGAGCTCAGTAAACAGTATCGGTGCAGGAAGAAGCATGGTGGTCAAATTTACTGCTGTTTGTTTAAATCCTTTATATCTGTAACAGCACTATGCTGTACATATGAGAAACTCATCAGGTTCCTAAAACTATTTCCTGTTTTGTTCCAGAATGCTTTCTACTTCAAGTGGTTTTTAATTGCAAGCTACTTTCAGAATATCTCATTTAAACGTTAATTCAAAACCGGGAGAATAGTGTTTGGATAGTGAGTAGCAGTCCTGCTACGCGTGTACCAAGATTTGTTAAATGTTTATGAAGGACTTCATTAAATTCTTAATTACTTTATAAATTTAGATTTATGATAGTTTTGTCTGAAAGATTTAACTCTATTCTGAAATGTTGTCGTTTTATGGTATCATACACAGTTTTAGGAATTACCACTTTATACATTTACTGCATAAACTCAGCTGAATTGGACTTGTCCCTTCACCCTCCCTCCAGTTTGTAATAAGAAATTGTCATGACCATTAACTGTGTTTACTCTAGGTAAGAACCTGTTTAAATGTCTGCTGCACAAGTCCGTTCAGCCTTTAATGGCCCATTCTTTTGTATCTATAAAATTTTATTTCCTAAGTGATAAATTCCCTTTTATTCCCCTTGGTTGAATGATTAATTTAAATTCATTCAAATGTCATAATTGTTCATGCATGCTACTCTTTTAAGCCAGCCACAGAAATCATTACATTTTCATGGTCATTACACATCTACTAATTCATGTATTTGGGTTATTCTGATTTGCCACTAAAAATAGTTGGGGAGCTAAAAGATTAGATAGTTCTTTAAAGCTGTGTTTGCATATGCTTTGAAAATGTAATTGAGGCAATAAAATGGCTTAGCTCTGTGTGTTCATTGTGAGAGTAAAAGAAAGACTAATTGCAAATGTTTTTCATATGAAACTAAAATACAGCTAAGCAGAAATTTAAAGTAATAAAAGAATAAATACTCTTGAGATATTCTAGTGGCACCAAGCGGTGGCATTCTCGATAAAGCAACATTTTGTACAGTGGTTTGAAGGGCCATTCTGAATATGTAGTGAATGCTTTAGAGTATCGGGCAGCAGTTTCCAGAAGATTCTTTCTGTGATTTTACCTTTCTCTCAAGAGAAAATTCGTTATTGTTTCTGCTGAATTCAGCAATTCAACAAACCTTCATAATTTAATTTCCCCAAGATAGCTCTCCATAATCCTTTTCTTCTGCTGTTCAGTACTGATCAACTACAGCAGCTTCTAATGATGAAGGGTTTTAAATTGCAAATTCTTCCTAAAAGGCATTTTAAAAATAACTATAGTTCATTCTACCACATGGACATACACTGTACTATTTCTGTCTGATGGGGTTTTTCTGTCTGAAGACTTTCTGGGGGAAGAGGTTATAATTTTTGTCTTGTAAAGTGCAAAATACTTTCTCTTGTCTTCTGTTCTGGAGATTTTCAGGTAGGAGTTAGGTTTCTGGGAGTAAGGGAAGAGTGCTGGGGAAGCGACTGTATAGATCTTATGTGGGTCTTCGCAATGTAAAGAAAAAAAACAGCTTTTTTTCTTAAGATGATAATTCATGTTGGAAACAGAAGCATTTAAAATAAAAGTATTTTATTGAACTGCACATATTTTTACTCTTAACATTCCATTTTTAACTTCGGTATTTCTGTGTTTAATATTAAATTGTATTCTTTTCCAGTCGTTCCAGTCGGAAATCTGAATTTTCTGACATGCCTTCTCAGTCATTTACTGAATCTTCTTCTCCAAGAGCTGGATTCCCACTTCCTTCTAGCTATTCAGATGATTATAACTCAACAGACAGAGCCCTCTCAAGTTATGAACCCGTCCCATTCAGTGCTTCCCTGAATGAATCTTCACCTACAGGAATTACCGATTACACTATTCAAGGTCTGTTTTGTCTTAACATTTAGCAGTTTGTAGTACAACGACAATTGCCTTTCTCTTAGATGCTTTTCTTACTGAACTGTGTATTTTCATCCCATGCAAACGTACATGGTACAGTATAGTGGTTTTGAATGAAACAGAATTGATTTTACACAGAAGGTAAATATATGTATTATTTTGTGTTCTAACTGTAAACTAAATTCAGAGTTTGTTTGGGGTTTTTTTATGTTTTGTAGCTCTAATTGCAAGTAAAGATCATAAATTAACTTACAATGTTTAATGTGTTGTGAAACTAAACTTGCAAAAAACTCAGCCTGACTTGAAGTTCTTTTTGACTGAAATTAAGGTGGCTTTGCCGTCCTTTCACTGCACTAAATAAACCATAGTCCCTACCATTTGTCTGCTTGCTTTTCTGAGGTTATTTCACTTTTGCCAGCACTGGTGCTGTAACTGAATACTGCTATAATGCAGTGACATTAAACTGTGTTTTTTATAATGTGACAAACATTTGAATCTTAAGTGAACTGAATGCATATTGTGTTCTGTTTCCACCAACAGCTGATTTTCTCATGGAGAAATCAAATGGCTTTTAAGTGCTGTTCTGTGCAGCTGTTCCCCTCCTTCCAGTATGAACTCTGTCCTCAGCTATGGCAGATTCTGAACACAGGTCTCTGGTACACAAAGGAGGAATTTACTGCCAAATGCAGTTTTGTACCTTGAATTAGTCTGGGTTTTTTAACTACTTTATCAAAAAGGTTTTTATTTCACAAAATAAGCCCTTTCACATGACTTGTTTTTAGTTATATAAAAGTATCAGATGTAAATGTATCAAGGAAATTGTAATTGCGCTTCATTACAAATATCAATAATTGGTCAAACCTTAGTTACAGAACCAAGATTCTGCATTATAAATGTAGATAAAAGTATAAAATGTTTATCAGGTGGCATATGATGCATGTAGTCCTAATTCTTTGAAAGCAGAATTTAAAGCCTAAATACAAACCCTTGAGCTTCACCCAGATTTCTCTTCAGAACTCATAAATATATAAAATGTATGATTATCATTAAAGTTTACATAAAGTGACCAGAACCATTTTATCCATCAACACATGGCTGTTAGGATTTCCACTGGGTAAAATGTGGAAAAGGAGTTAACTGTCAGTCTTCCAAAGCAGTTTGACAAATGAAAAGAATAAAAGAAATGGATTAATTAAAGAGCACATACATTCTTAGTTGCATTTAGAATTGCAGCTGTCGTGCTCCTTTTCATTTGGGATTGAGCTGTAATTAACTGCCATTCTAGAACAGGTTGTAGCCCAGTTTTTATTTTAATGTTTGTTTTGTTTTCAGATCCTGCTCCAGTTCCAGAAGAAAGTCGTAAAAAAAAAGGCATCACATATGAGGAATTAAGGAATAAACACAGAGAGACTTACGAGGTAATGCTACCACCAAAGGCAGAAGCTCCAGGCAAATTTTCACAGGAAAAGCCAACTAAGGAAGGTAATGCACTCATTTACAGAAATACATAGTAAATTCAAATAATTTGTGATAATGTTAAAAATGGTAACAAACCCAAGGCTTCATTCTGCTTACCCTTTAAGTAATTTGTTTTTACAGTGTCTGGTGTTATCTCATATGTGATGCGGTCTGTAGTTTCATATTTCAAATTAATTCTTTTTTCTGAAATATTGACCTCCCAATAGCAAATTAGAATTCCTTCTCTTCAGCCATATTGCTTGGTGCCAGACTGAAAATCTCGTCACTTTTGGCTTATTGAATATATCGAGCAACCTCTTTCACTAAAGAATTCTCTGAGCTCAGAGCTATACTGAGGAGGTTTAGCTATGAAAGGGGGTGTATATTTTAGACAGCATTGTTCTCTCAAAATAGAGCACATGGCTGATGGTTTTGAAGGGGCAGGTATTTATTTTTATGAATTGTTTCATGTGAAATTAGTGGATTTCTATAGAGGCATTGTTTGTAGAGGTTCATTTTCTACATTAAAACTCAAAGGAAGGAAACAGTATTTGGCAGCAATATTGAGATTTGTTTTCACAGTGGAAAAACTAAAACTTTACTTGGCAAAACAAGACTGCAGCATCCTGAAGAGTGAGATTCAGTTAAGATTTTCGTTCAACCAGTTTTTTGAAAAGGTGACACAGAAGCAATTCATAACCACTTGCCCTAGAACTTCTAAAATGTAGTGTGGCATCTGTGAAAAGGATATTAGCAAGAGGAATGTTTTACTGTTTAACACACTGCTGGACTAGGCAGCTTGAATTGCTTGGGTTTGTATGCAGTGTCCAGTATGGTCAGTCAGTACGTAGGAAAAGCTGATGTTTCCTATTAGGCATAACGGGGTAATAAGTATAGAGAAGTGGGTTAAGGCAAGAAGTTCTGAAGCAGTAATAGTAAGCTTTGGAACAGCATTGCTTAGGAGTGTCAGTCTGTTTCATGCTTGTGAATTTCTCCAGATCATCTGTCTTCGGACAGTTCTACACAGTCTTGAAATAAAAAATTATAAATAATTATTGGGTAATTATTTCAATCTGTTATTTAAAGGATGAAAGCCTTTTTCTCTTATCACATGACTATGCCAAATGACAAATTAAAAATTACTGAAGATGTCATTTCAGATTGCTTCTAAATTCCATCAGCTGACACTTCATTGATTTACACAATGCTGCTTTTTCAAGGTATTTCTTCCCAAATAGAAGCCTAGAAATGTTACTTGAAAACCGTACACAGAAATCTTAAGCTCCTCGTTGTGTGCTTGTTTATACATCCGGAGTCATTACCCGTTTGCTCATCCTCCATCTCTGTGGCACAGGAACAAGTAGCAAGTAGGACACAGTGGTTTCTGCCCTCTGTTGCTAGGCCATAAGGGAAAACAAATCCAGTTTAAATCAGTTTTAAGCAGTCCCTAACTTCCATCTGCTGGTGCCTTCTCTGTTCATTGCAGCCATACAAATACGTGCATCTGCATAGGGATCCAGACTGGACCATTTTCCAGGGAATGAGTGCAGCCTGCTCAGCTGCCATGGTTCATAGAAATGGAAATCAAATCATACTTTGAGAGAGCTTCTCCTTGTGCCTCGCTGCAATATCCATCTGCTCAGAAGAGATTTGTCAGTGCATTGTGCTATGTTTGCTGATGTTTCACTGAGACAAGGACCGTGCATTCTGCTCTGTTCCCCTGGTTCTGCTGCAGACAGGGATTAATAAACAGTGGGCTTAGTCATTAACCTGCAAGGGGTGCCTGATGAGTGTCAGCATTCCCACTGGATCCCATAGATCCATCCCTTACCCTGTCGGTGATGGTTGTCAGTTACAGACTGCTTTCCAGCTGACCTTCCAGAGAGCAGCTTTTCCCTTTCTGGTCATTGGTTCAATTATACACAACAGGTTTCTGAGTAAATCCGTTAAGACCAGTACCCTGCTTTTTTTACTCTCTGACTCGTTCCTATGCTAAAGGAAGCTGCCAAATAATAATGGCTGAGTAGTTTCCTAGTAGGGATTACTGATTTTTGTCTCTGTCTTTGAATGTGTTTTTAACTGTCTTGAATCCACCCAATTGTGTACGTAAACTAGATTATGTAGCCACTTACTTATCATAACATTCCTTCCCTGTTTCCTCCAATTGTCTTTGTTTCATCCACATGTTACATTTGTTTCCAAGTAATTACAAATTCTGTAGAGCAGGAATTAGCATGGTAGGCCTCTTGACTGAATATTAATCCATTAAGGAATAGTGATTTACAAATGCTTCTCTCCATTTATTCAAAAGTAGCTTTAATTAGAGTCTGTTGTACTGTGACTGTTGCTTTCCCCACTCACCACTTTAAATGATAATGCATTTCATCGTCCTTTTCAGCACTGTGTAAGAGAAACTTTTGCAGTTATATTAAGTCATATGTGACTACTTTTCCTTCTTTTCTTTAGTTAAAGTAAATAAATATGGAGATACCTGGGATGAGTAAGAGCCGAATGAAGAACTGAAGAATATTACCTCCTATCAACTAACTTGAACCTCATCTAGATTAGTCATGAGTGTCGGCACTTTGGTGTGTTCTGCCATGCACAGCTATTATTAAATGATGAGAAAATTCCGACCTGCCAGAAGATTTAAAAGGAAAAGTATTTAGGCTTATTTTTTTTTTAATTTTGCATAAATGGCAAGTGAGGCTATCATGAGATGTCACGACTATAAACCATTTGTGCTATTGGTAATGAATGAAATGAGTAACTGGCAATAACTAATATAAATGCATAGCAAAAGGCAAAAATATATGTAAATAAATACAATCATATGTATCGGGAAGGGAAAAATACCGGAATCTTCTCAAATTTTCAAGACTTGCATTAAAAGTTACCTGTAGAACTCCCCTCTCACTTTGTTTTGTCTGAAAGGGTTATGCTGGAAATGTCAAATTGTTGTCATGCTTGGTTAGTAATGTCTGGAGTCATACTGTGAATCATTCAGGGAAAAAGGGCTGAGGAACTTAGCCGAACACACAGGTAAGCAGACTTAATGTTTTCAAAACTGCTTTCATGGTGCCAGCTAAATTTTTAGAATGACATTCTGACTTGCCCACACTGGGTCTCTTCAGAGAGTCGTTTAGGAAGAAAATTGATTGAAGCTACAGTTTTAAAATAGCCATATTTAAGTGCAGAAGGTTAAACCTGATGACAAACTTTGGTAAAAGTTTGAATGGTACCTTGACTGTTAATATTAGGTTTTCTGTATTTAGCCGCATTTCTCAGTTTGTGCATGTCATGACAAAAACCCCACGTTTATAGAGAAAAGATCTGCATCAATGGAGTATTGTATTATTATTACCTGTAAGAAAAGAGCTACACTGGCAAAACCACTGAAGAGTATTTCCTGGTGTTCGCATCTCTTGCTCCATCTCAATCAAATGTTGTCTTCCGTTAGGGATTCTCATATTCTTAGCTGTGCTGTTTCGTTTCACAGCATTGTGTTCATTTTGGGGAGCAAAAGTCACAATGAAGTTGATAGCGCAAAAGCATTCCTGACCGTCCTCTTGGAGACGAAAAGTAACTTAGCCACCAAGCTGAAAATTTTCAAAGACCTTATTGGTTTAATGGACTAGCAGCAGAGCAGTGTGAATGAGAAGATTATTTGGGGGGGATACGGAGCAATTAGCTGAAATGAGGAGGAAAAAAGGGTAGAGGGGTGATGAGGATGCTTAAAAAGCCAAATACTACTTCTAATAATCAAAACAGGCAGATTGCTTTCAGAAAAGCTGATCTTCTGAAAAATGGAATGTACTAATCAGATAATCTTGAAGTTGTATCAGCAATGTAATTTACAGAAAACACTTATGGCCATGATGTGGGAACTCTTGAACATACAGGAAGTCTGCCAGAATTATATTGCTGTGTTTTTTTTAGTGTACTGTTCCAAAGCTGTTTAGATTTATTATGAAAATACTCACAAAGTTTCTTAGTTGTGAATTGTGTAAGTAACAGGAGGCACAAGATTTAGATGATAAAACTGGAGCGGATTCCTATGGTGGTGGTTTTTCATCTGTAAAAAGAACTGCATTTTCTTTTGAATGAATGAAAATTTTGGATGAATGAGAAATCTGGGTGAGAAAATGTAGGAGCAGGCTTTGAGGAAATAACAACACCCGGAAGACGCAAACTATTGAACAATAAGCTTGCCAATAAGCTTGCCGAGATTCTCAGGAATCTTAATGCGTGCTTATACTACAAGTTTATTTGTACAAGAGAATGATCATCTGAGGAGTTGGCTACACGAGTTAATGTAAATACCTCTGCAGTGTGGACATGCCACTGAAAAGTGAGACTCCCTCTATTTCGTGACATTCACTGTGGAAGTTACCGCTGTGCTGGTAACTTATGTGTAATCAGGTATTTAATAACACACAGGAACCCGGGGTGGACTTGAAGGCCTCACACATGTGTTTTGAGCAATTCTCCGGTTCTCAGTCTCAGGGCATTTCCTGCGCTGCACCCTTGAATCGGTGCTGATGGCTGTGTAGGTGTTGCTGTTCCTATTTTGTCTCGTCGTGTACTTCTCGTTATTTGTGTGTACGTCCTCCTGACAGAGGGCTGACTGGGAGCACCTTGTACAGATAGGACAGAGCACTTAACCCTATGCCACTGAAGTGCCAAAAAGGTCATGGCCGTCTCAGACCTACCTCAAAACTGTAGTGCTCCTTTTGTATGCTGGTAACCACTAATTAGCAGTTAATGTGATTATCACAGTTCACGTGATTATCAGAAGCCTGTAATCTGAAGAGGAGACTTTCTTTAAAGCATCTTGCCTCAAATTAGTATTTTAGATGGGCAAACACAGTGTTTTATATAAACTGTATTAGGATTTCTTTTTTCCTTTCTTAGAGGAGTAAATAAAAGGCATATATCAGCTATAACTAATGTTTTAAAGGTTTCATGTTTCTCTGCTTAAGGTAACATTGTGTATACATAAGATTTCTACATTTGATACAATGTTTTCATTCTGTTGCATCTAGTTAACCCCTCTCAGAGGACCTTTTTTTTTTTTTTTGTACTTGAGAACGAGTTTACCATCGAACAATTTAAAATTCTGTGGCTTTCTAGCACATCCTTAATAAGTATTAAATATAGGAGAGTTCACGACCATAGGTGTTAATTTGATAGGGTATTGGAAACTGGTATTTTGGCTAAGTTGGGTCACGTTCAATTTGCTGTGGCAATATGTGTGTTGAACCTGTGATTCACTGAATAGCTGTGGGAATTCAGCTGTCTTCCTTCCCTTTTTCTGCACATCTTCCATGCGTACCACCTTGTGACAGAGTGTTTTGGGTTTTTTTCCAGTCTTGTGATTTCATAGCAGCTGCCCTGTTATCCGTGAGCAGTTTGCTCATACTGCATTTACATGATTTTGGGAGATTTTTAACTGAATCCAAGTATCTGAGATCTTTTCTTGATTTATTAACCAGGCCAACTGTTTTCCTGGAATGTAGGTCCCTTGCTGCTCTTCAAAAATCACAGTAAGAATTTCACTTTGCTTTACCATTTGTATTTCCAGTCGGGTATGTTTACAGTCTGACCTAACCACAAAGAGAGTGGCATTAAAAATGACTTGAAGTTGTCATCATATGTTCATTAATAAATGTGAATTAACTCAATATTCATTGTAAACCTAAGTAAATTATCTTTTATTCCTCAGAATAAATTTTAACTACATTAAAAAGTTACCTGTTACACCTTAAATCAAACACCTTTCCGTTTTCCAGTTTGGTTACCTATCAAGTTGTTTGTAGAAATCAACAAACTGTGTTTGGATTTTAACCTCATGGCAACACATGGGACAGTTTACATCTTGTTGCTGTTCCAGGCTCTTGCTTTGGGTCTGTCATATGGGTTTGCACTCGTTCAGCTAAGCTAGTGCAGGTTTGGACACAGATCTGCCTCCAGTTGATACTATATTTTCTTTGCTAACATAAGAACTAAAGCACCAGCTCGCATCAACCACCAGCACCAAACAGAAGTTTTGAGGCACCTTAGAGCAGCTGCATTAGAATCCAAACCAAGGGAAACCAGGGCATCTTACACATTAACCACCTTCGCTAAGGCACAGATTTCCAGTTTGCAAGACCATCAAGTGAATTATTCTTTCCAGATAATGAGGAAAATAAAACAACTGGCATTTTTATTTAACTGAAGTAAAGCAGTATAGCAAAACCAGCAATGCATCAGGTTATAAGGTGTGACAAAAAGTGAATGGATTCTTGGACCTAATTGTTACTGAGAGAGCTGCGGGAGAGTAGATGATAATCCCTTAGGGAGAATTTGTATGAATTTACTTCAGATAAATGAAAACAGTATAATTCTTAAAGAATCAAAACATTATCAGCCATGATTTAAAGCACTTGATTTTGTTCAATGCTAATGATACCATCTAACTTTATATTGCTGTTTTAATACTTACTATTTCGTTACTGTTGGTTTTTCTTTGACTGAGCAATTCATAATTTCCTGAGATTTTAAGATACACAACAGTACACAGTAATACATAGTTTCAACATATAGTCATAATGTTCTCTGTTTAGCAGAAACAGCTTTGCAAAACTAAAACATAGGAGTCTCCCATGAGCTACTTTCATGACATGTAAAAGGATGTGGGATAAAGACATTGCACAATCACCTGATACAAAGGACACTAAATCACATACAACTTTCATTTATCCTTGAAATGAGAAAAAAATCTTAACATGAAAGAGAAATTGAGAGTTTGACAGATTCCCTTTGCCAAACTAAAAGTAAATTATTCAGGATTAAAAATCCCTAGTGTATATAACCTTTGTGGTGTTTTTCCAGCTGCTCAGTGATGATATAGAACTCTATTTTCAGGGTATGCCATCTTGGCATGAACTGCTTCTAAAATGAAAATTTCATTCCTTACATGAAATGCTATACATTATTTTCTACTCTCTAATCCACAGTAGAAGCACATTTCTGGTGCTTTGGATTTTTTTTTTTAATTAAGCTAAAATTAGGTTTTATATAAAGCTAATGCCAAAACAAATAATTTTGTTAAGCTTAATTCTGTAGTTTAAATATAATTGTTAGTCTTAACACTCTTAGGCTAACTAGCATGTTAAAACAGTGTAACTGATACAAGAAAGGGCGAATTCAGTTGCAGTAGTGGATGCCTAAACATCAATGATGGATTATTACAATGTCTAAATCAATTTCTAAAGAAGCCATGCGAAGCAGAAGACATTTCTGCAGGTACAGTGTCATGTATGGCTATGTGCTTGTGTTGAAGAGCCAAGTGTGTTTCTTAGGGTCCCCTGAAGAGTTTGTGAAGGACTGTATTCATTTTTCCCCTCTGCATGCTACATAACGTGCAGCTGTCTGCCGGCCTTGAAGGCTGCATTGTAGCCACGAGCCATGCGCAGTGCTACGGGAGCAACACGCAGAAGAAGAAGGAGCCCCTTCAGCCCTCACTGGGGAAAGTGGAGCTGGAGCTGGACTGGCAGAGCAGCTGTGCCACCCGTGGCCCCGACAGAGCTGCCACCTGCGGTGTGAAACCCCTGCTGAGACAAGGGCAGGCTCTGTCTGGCAATGGGCTGGAGCAGCTCCCTGGATTATGACAATCTGCTGGATCTGTGGAGCTTATCAGGAGAATGGGAGTGATTACAGGGCAAGCATTTGCTGCTGGGTAAGGTTTTGGTTGTGTATTTTGAAGTATTATACATGCGACAGTATAGCAGGCAGTAAGCTTGGGCAGGTCCAGTTCAGTCATTGCAGCTCTCAGCCTACAGCTGGCGTGAGGGAAGGGTAGGTGTAAAATGTGCCTCTGGGAGGAAGTAGTAAAGCTGTTTCTTTTTTTTTCCTAGGAATTGTTAACGTTCTACTTGCCCTTTGGCTGTCATAGACCATTGATCTGATGTCTTGCAACTATGCAAAACTATGCAAAATGACTCCTGGATCTCTGTACTGAGAATGTCAGAGTAATTTAAAACCAACTGTGTGATGCAGTTAGTATTTTTCCCCATGACAATGACTATTACTCAGACTCTCAGTATTGATATTTTTTCCTAGCTCTATCATTTTGTCATCAAGAAACATAGTCATGTTTTCCTTTGTCAGATTATCTCTTAATACATTGATGAGGTGTCCCCTAGCATGTCCCCAGAAGCCCTCTCAAGCCTTCTAGATTTCAAACTGAGAAAAGTCTCATTTATTTCTTGAGAACCTCATTTTCTTGAGAAACTTATCAGAAAAAAAAAAAAAGAAACCATCCCCAAACCCACACAAATTCACAAATCCACCTATTTTAGAGGTGATTCCTCAAACTAAGTACATGCTTGGGAAAATAGTACAATCTAGAAAAGTGAAGTCTGTAAGTAAAAGAGGCTCAGTATTTCCGAGATGTGGAACTACTGTAATACTGATGTCAGAAGTTGGTTCCCGTTTTTTGGCTCTCTCAAATGGAGCTCCTCTCTGTGATGCCAAAAATGAGTTGGGCGAGTGGGACAAACTAGCCAGCTCTTTCACTGGGAGAAACAGTCATGAGGAAGAAGCTGCTGCTCCCAATTTCACATTGCTGCCAGAGGTACCAGAGTGGTGCTTGGGCCAGCTGCCCCTTCATGCTTCCCACTTGGCCTCGGATGCTCCTGTTTTATCTCCTACCCCAGAGCTTCCTCTCTGCTTACCAGCCTATCCCCTCTCAGAGCTGTGGGTGCACAGCATGCCTTGTTCTCTCACTCTCCTCTAAAACTATAGTAAAATAAGTCCCAAATCTTGTTTTTAATAGGGATTTATTAAAACGTAGATGGTGAGCTTTAGTCTCTCCTTCATTCCCAGTTTTAAAAGAGAAAAACACACCAGCTGGCTTGCCCAAAGTCCAACTACTAAGTCAGGATTTAAATGTGCTTTGTTTTCAACCTACAATTGCTTTCTCTTCTAAAACACAACATTTTTAAATTGGATTGAATACAGTATTTGTAAAATGATTTCAGATAGATAATAGAAAAGTCCCCAAAGACAAGCAACCTATTGCAGTTGTTTGGGGTTAATGTCATTACAGCTTTCCTCTTCTACTCTGACCCTTCTTCTATTCATCATTTCATAAAGTGGATTGAGGCTTACATCAGGCTACTCACTGCATGCATTACAGCTGAAAGATGTACTTTGTTTCTTGATTTTAGCAAGTATGGGGGTCCTGGTGGACAGCAGGATGACCATGAGCCAGCACTGTGCCCTTGTGGCCAAGAAGGCCAGTGGCATCCTGGGGTGTATCAGGAGGGGGGTGGTGAGTAGGTCGAGAGAGGTTCTCCTCCCCCTCTACTCTGCCCTGGTGAGACCGCATCTGGAATATTGTGTCCAGTTCTGGGCCCCTCAGTTCAAGAAGGACAGAGAACTGCTGGAGAGAGTCCAGCGTAGGGCTACAAAGATGATCAAGGGAGTGGAGCATCTCCCTTATGAGGAGCAGCTGAGGGAGCTGGGTCTCTTTAGTTTGCAGAAGAGGAGACTGAGGGGAGACCTCATTCATGTTTATAAATATTTAAAGGGTGAGTGTCACGAGGATGGAGCCAGGCTCTTCTCGGTGACAAACAATGATAGGACAAGGGGTAATGGGCACAAGCTGGAACACAGGAGGTTCCACTTAAATTTGAGAAGAAACTTCTTCTCAGTGAGGGTGACAGAGCACTGGAACAGGCTGCCCAGAGAGGTTGTGGAGTCTCCTTCTCTGGAGACATTCAAAACCCGCCTGGACGCCTTCCTGTGTAACCTCATCTAGGTGTTCCTGCTCCGGCAGGGGGATTGGACTAGATGATCTTTTGAGGTCCCTTTCAATCCTTAACGTTCTGTGATTCTGTGATTCTGTATGTGGACTTCAACTAAGTTGTGATATGCCTAAACACACAGTTCAACTCTCTTGTCTCTGGGTGAAGAAAGTAATCTCCACTTTCCAGATAAAAAGGATTAATAGGAAGCTATGTATGCTCATTAGATCTTTTTTAAGCTTTTCTTTGGTAACATCTTCCTGCCAAAAGGGAATATATATCCTGTTATTAGTAGAAGAAAATACTACAAAAATGTTTCAGCACTATATAAAAAAATGCTTGATCCTTTGTAAGGTCAACTGTTTTTCTCCTGGGGATCTCTTCCCTTCTTATTCCAGACTGAAATAAAGATTATGGAAGCAACTGATTACCTCAAATCTTTCCCTATTTTTTTCAATTGGTCACCCCTGAATTCAGTATATTCAGCTTCTGCTTCAATTAAAAACAAATAACTTTACTTGACTTGTATGGAATGCATGACAGTAATGGTCAACATAGGTTAGCTCATTAAATTGTTCATAATTACTACAACATGGCTGTACTAACGTACAGCTCTTAGAGCATTCTTTGTTAATCACCAGGAGCTTGTCTTCCCAAGTAGAAAAATCATGAGGGTCTAGCCAGGAGAGCACATCAGGTTCTGTCCAGCTCTTCCTGTCTCACTCTTGCATGAAGTAATAATGTAAAAGAATCAGTAGGCATTTAAATGTTCCTTTCTGCATCACACAGCACAACTACCAACACCCCAACACCTCCTTTCTTATAGCATGTTTTCACATTTCTTTGTCAAATCTTAATAAGCTTAAAAGCTTAAGTAGGTCACATAAACCATCCAGTGCTAAAAAAATCCAGCATCTGCCTGACTGCACCCCTTGAACACAGATCCAGCCACCAGAGCAACTCTCACACACCTGTAAATCACAGCATGATGAAAGTCAGTTGGCTCCAATTTATCAAATTAAGTAACATGTCGCAGAATGTGTTATGAGTCTTCCCTATCCTTTTGTAGCTGGCACTTTTGAGAGAGTTGGTTAAGTTCAATTTTAGACTATTGTAATTTTTTTAAGTTATATTTAAGAAATATTGTAACATCATTACTACCTCATTGTAAAAGTTTGTAGCCCAGCTCCACAATTCACTAAATTATTGGTCAGACAAAGCAGGAGAAGTTGCATATTAACAAAATCAAATAAAAAGCCTTGCCAAAACATACCCTCTGTCATTTCTCAAGTCAAGGAGCATTATGTGGAGCCTGACACCTGACAGGCTTAAACAATTATTTGGCCATAAATCCTCTGAAGTACAGAAAAAAGCTTTTGAAGACCTTCTAAAGAACAGTTTACCCATAAGCTGCGCTCACTTTTCCTTTGATATGCACAAATTTAGTGCTAATACAGCTTAGATTCACAAACAGACTTTTTGCTTAACAGTATCACAGTAACTCATGAACTTAGATTCCCACAATGAGCTGATCAGAGTAGTGCCTCTTGCAAAGTATGGAAATCAATTTAGAAAACAAGGAGACAATGTTCATATAACAGTACATTTATTACAGCAAAGTAATAGGAAGCCTGGACGAAATGACATGTAAAGCAAAGTTAAGTAGCTAAGTTGTAACCCCGGGAGGTGACACAAGAACAACCTCTGAGTCTGCCATGGAAGGTCCACTGTCACATGCATCACTCTCCTCAGCATCACATGGATGTGATGGTTTGCTGTAGATAACCCAAGCATGACTTAACTTGGTGCAGTTTGGTGCTGTTATCCTGACAGCAGATGTCAGCTGACCGGAAAGTAGCTAAGACATGTCACCCTGCAAGTTCTGCTGGCTATCACAGGACACCTGTGATAACTACGTTATGTTCACAACAGAGGTTGGCTTCTCTTCATCTTTCTCTCCCTGCAGCCACCTGCTGAAGGTTCCCCAAGGCTCACCTGCATCAGCTCTGACACAACACAGCTGTGCCCCTGACTCAGTCTGCTGAGAAAGAGCTGTGGGAAAAGGCTATAGAAAGGTAAAAAGGGTAAAATCAAAGCCTCTGTGGAGGGTTCTTAGTAGCTCAAGAATTCAAGAGAGCAAACACCAATTTGGAAAGGTATAAAATCTTACAGGGAAAAAAAATACAGGAGGGTTAGTCTAACCCTTCTGCCTGGTGGCTGCCTGGCTAGGGAAGACTCTCCAAGTAGCTTATCAGAGTGGTGAGTATTTAGCTTTTTAAAACCAGAATGTATTTTGTGTGTGGTAACCAATTAATGGCTACTTTGTACTTTTACATTCTATGTATCCTGCTTGAAGAATCTCTTTGTGCCTGGGTTAAGATACCGAAAGAAGCTGGTTCAAAAGAGGAGTACCAACCATAGGCATCGTATAAAAGCAAATAATAAAAAAAAAACAACACATGAACTGACAGCGAAGCCCACACTTTTCAGTAGCTGTACACCTGATTTTCCTGTGAACACCATCGCTGTGTTTTGGGGAAGTGTCTGCTTTTGATTTCCTAAGATATTGAATGGAAGTTTGTGCACCATGCTCTTTGTAGAGAGCATGTGCCATCTAGTTTTTTCTCAACATCTACTCGTCTTGGATTGGGTGTAGACCATTTACCATTCCAAAATATTGTATCTTCTTGTTCATTACAAACGTGGCACGTACTTTTGATGTCCCTGGTAAAGTGGACTTTTATGTAGAACCGTGTCATTGAAAGTTGGTTCAGCACAGGACCTGCAGTGTGACAATACCCTCATGAACTAGCTTAGTACTCTTAAAACACTCCATAAACAAGGAGCCAGCTCAGAGACTGAACAGCCTCTTAACTGTGCAAAATCACTTAAACATCGTTGTACTCTTTCCTTTTGACATAGCAGACAAACGTTCCAGCATATGCTGTTTTGCTTGCTACATAAAGTATTGGCAGCATCTAAGTACAATAGACAAATTTAATTTTTAATCACTATGACCTAAATTGCACTGAAGGGAGGAAAATAAACCAAAACATGATGAGAAGAAAGAGAAGAGGAAAAATCAAAAAGTGCATTACAGGAAACCGGTATTTATTATGAAGAAAACTACTTCAAATAAGCTGATTTACACCAAACCAAAGACATCATTTTTTCTCTAAAGAATAAAGCCTTGAAAGAAGAAGCTGATCCATAAGATCTTCACCACATCTGTAAATGGAATGAAAGGACCTGTTATTTAGCTGAGTGGCACCTTGCTTTTGATATGAAATGTGTAGCTTTTTGGTGGTTTCTCTGAGAACTCTGCAAAGTCCTTGCGGATAAAAGACATTACCTTTGGACTCATCAACATGAATATAATTTTACCTGGGTGGCCCTCCTAGGCAGTGCCAGAGCTTGTGATGCACACTTGGCATGGATAGTGGCAAGATGTGCTTAGTAGGGTCTCTGTACATTTTGAGAGCATAGCATGCTAAATTAAGAATTTTTATTAAAACATAAAAGAGGCTATGAGGTTATTATTTTCACTGTTTAACAATACAGAAAAAAACAGAATGGCTACAATGTTTCTTTTCCTAAGTTTCTAAAACCTGTCCATCAAAACTGATTTCTGGCAAATTCAAAATATTACGCTGGCCCAAATGTAATGACTTTTTTCTTCCAGCAATTATAATTTGAAAGAAATATTCTTGTCTTAGATTTGTTTTCAGACTAAGTTTCTGATTAAGCTTTCTAGCCCTTTTAAAAAAACAAACAAGATGACCTAAGTGGCTGGTAAAAAGTGCAGCAATCAAGGTGTTTGATGAACAGTAAGCTAAGATGGGAGCTAAAACTGGTTCCACAGCAGAAATTCCAGGACCTATTGCAGGAGGAAAACAAAGGAGCCTGTGGCATCCTGAGTTCTTCCCTTCATACACCTGCAAGGCTCCTGTGTATCCGAGACAATTTCAAGTTTATTTAAAAGCTAATTGTACTTGTACACTGCCATAACACATTGTTGCATAGTAAAAATCTCGCTTCTGGGTAAGTAAGTAAACATGTTCTGCTAGGATACTGCTCCTTACAGATTGTCTGCAACCATGCAATTTAGAGCAAGAAAGGGACCAGTATAAATATCTTTGTCTAAATTGCTACATAATATATGGTAAAGTTACTAAATCCAACAATTTCTGCATCAGACTTCAGTCAGAGCCATAACAAACTCGCCTGGCAGGGTTTCAAGCAGGCCCTCTGTTGCCTCTCTTGCAGGCAGCCAAGCTATTTGCAAACACTTTCACACATTCTCCTGCCTGTGAGAAATGTAGGGCAGTTTACCACAACCAGAAAGTGTGAAAATGCTTTGAAAAAGCCCAGCTGCTGGCCTGTTTTTCATAGGCAAAGAGTGAAAGTGCTTTAAAATGCTCCCCTGCCTTCCACATGTAAACCCTCCTTTTTGGCAAAGGGGATTTTCCCCTCTCTGGGGTGAAAGCATCACATGGGGCATCTCCCCTGCCCCACCACGCAGCTGCTCTTAGCACCACTTTTACCCTACCCTCACTAAGGCTCCAGTCAAACCATAGTCCTGGATGCAAAAAAAAAACCCAACCCAACTGTGTCTGCTTTTAGATTCTCAATGTTTCAATGTCTTTTTAAATATCAACATTATCTGTAATTATTTGATTCTTAAGTAATAAAGTTGGAAACTGAAAGGAGTTACATTTATTTTCATACAAGTAGTCAATTCAAATGAATTCCAATTAGGTGAATAAGCAGTACTCTGCTACAGATAATGCAGAAATTTCTCAGAAATTAGGGATTTAAAATTAACATGAAAATTATGTAAGGTAAAAATGAAGAAACAAATTTAATTAGAAACCACAGATAGAAAATATTTCCTTGAATAATGCTCAGATTTTAATCTATTATTAAAATCCATGATTTTCAGTATACTGTTCAAGCATTTCAAACAAGAATACCACTCAACATGGAAAACAAAACGACAATTTATTTTAAATTTCAAAGTTGCCTACCTGGGATGCTGAAGGACTTGAACCTTCTTTCTCATTTGATCCCAATTTTCCTTGACATTCTTTGCAAGCATGATGACAATGCCTACAATATCGAAAACAGATAAAATACTGAAGAATTTTGCTGAATTTCTTCTAATACAACCATACAGCACACTGGCAAATGTTGTTGAAGAAGTAATCTCTTGCCTATATTCTCCAATTTTTGTAACTGCTTTAGGGGACATAAACTGCAAAAGATGTCATCTAAATGTCTCAGCCAATAAAAACTCATTAATTATTATTAACTACCATTTCCAGCAATTGCCAAAAACCAAGAGGATTTTCTAAGCAGGAAAAGACAGTCCTTGCCATTGTACCTATCATTAATGAGCAAACAGAGTTAGGAGCGAGGTGTGCAATAAGAGAGTGATGAATACCCATTTTGAGTAACACCAAGTGAGGAAACCAACAGCTTTGTTATGTGGTGGAAGAACAGAAGTAAAGAGATAGATGAACAATGAAGAAGCTTCCTGTTATCAGTCAGGCATTTTTGTAAGCATAAAAGCTCACGTTCATCTGGGAGAAAGATAGGGAAA